ATGTATGTATGTATGTGTATGTATGTATGTATGTGTATGTATGTATGTATGTATGTATGTATGTATGTATGTATGTATGTATGTATGTATGTATGTATGTATGTATGTATGTATGTATGTATGTATGTATGTATGTATGTATGTATATGTATGTATGTATATGTATGTATGTATATGTATGTATGTATGTATGTATGTATGTATGTATGTATGTATGTATGTATGTATGTATGTATGTATGTATGTATGTATATATATATATATATATATATATATATATATATATATATATATATATATATATATATATATATATATATTCCATCCAATAAATGATGAATGATAAATTAGTAAACTTTATAATTTCCAATCTTGCTATATTGCTATTAACCCACTGACAGTGGAAGGCATGATTACATTCCATGTCAGCTGTAATTTCAGGTTATCATGTTTAAACAAAGATGGCTCCACAAGTGTTAGTCTATAAGAAGTCAATTCCTAGTCCTACCTACCTATCTCACCTATTTATCTTTTTCCTTGATTTTGGAAAGATTCCTTATCATTTTATCATTCTTATTGTTGCAATAATAATAATAATAGTATCAATATCAACAGCATAGGAAAATAGGAAAGGGGAAACAAAGTGCAGTCACTAGGGCCTACTGATTGACCTCTTGGTGGATGAGCACTTGTGGAGCCACAAAAAATACAGTGTACAGTACATAAACCTGCGGCCAATGAGTTATCATTTCCTAAAACACATCAAATAAATGCATTGTATTACGAACAAGGAACTTCTCCTAGAATGAGGTAAGAGATACAGACTTGAAGCTATTCTGAAAGGCACCCATGTTTACCTGGAAATAATGAAAATGATGTGGCGGAAATTTCTGCTTAAAGTATGGATTAACAGTAATGTACATAAGGATTTCATGTACAAAAGCAAAATAGGAAAAAACATCTGTGCCAATAGTTTTTCTTCAACCTAAACCCATGTCGACATTTCAGTAACTTCTTTTGTGTGCACTTTAGACATCCAATACTTCACTTCATTAGCTGCAAATGAGGGAGAAGAGGTAGAGGAAGAGGAAGGGGAGTTATATGAAGATGATGAAGAGGATGGGCTAGATGATACTTCGGCTATATCACTACTTCTCTTATAAGGTAGCCGGATATCAGGCTGAAACACGGAGAAAGAGTACACTTAGCCAACAATATGAACACTGCATGCACGAAAAACATTACCAGACCCTAAATTACACATCAAAAACAAAACACCCACAGATCTCTGACAACTCTTAAGCTTACATAGATACTGTTATAAATGAACACCTTATATGCTAAAAGGGATACAATACAATCTTCATCTTATTGATATAAGCAACAGACCAGAGCATCAAAGTACACCAATCTATGCAATTTCACTGTATCCAAACTCTTCATAAACTCAAATAAGTTGACATGGAACATCATGAGACTGGAAAATTTACATATTGCTACATATAAAATTGATTCTGACAAATATAGAAAAAGCTATGAATGAGCATGAATATCTTCATGGTGCGAGATCTATTTGACCAGTTTACACATATTTTTTTAATCAAAACTGGTCTACTATATCTCCTACACTGTGGAGCTATTCAACCTCTTTCATAACTATTTCTACAAAATTCAAATTGTATATCAACTATGGAAGCTGGGTTTCCTTTTTTCATAGCATTCCATTGGTATGTTATTGGTATATTATGAGATTATTTATCTGTGACCCCACAGTGATTCACTGGAACTCCAAATTTGGCACCAGGCAAAATACTTCTTTAACATACTTCTCATACAGTCCTCTTGCACAGCACTGCAATTTCTCCTTTTCGTGATGACTCCAGCTAATAAACAGATAAATATACATGCTTTTATATACTATTGTGCCCGGTTTGCACCATTCATGTATCCCTAAAGTGCACTGTGCTTGTTACTAAACACACCTAAGTAAATGAAAGGCTACACTCTTTCACTCACTGGCAACAAGTGGCATGATAACACATCAAGGCAAATAACTACAAATAACAGGTGATGTCTTATCATGTTCTCAGTCTATGGCCTGATCACCAGGATTAGATCTCATGCACACTACTACAAGCCAGCTAACCGCTGAGGCTCAGAGCTGTACGCATTAATGAATGCAAAACCTCTCCCAACTTCACCATTTTTTTTTTTTTTTTTCTGTCATTATTGGGTTCACAATCATTTCTGAACTAAACTTCCTTCCTTCCCTAAAGAAAAAAATCTGTCTTGACTGCCTTGGAATAAAGATCATAAATAAAAAATGAATAATAAACATTTAAATAAAAAATCTAATATTTAAAAAACAAAAAAGGTAAAAAAAAAAACATAAAATAAACACTAAATATGAAAAACATAAAAACAAAAGAAATTAGAAAATAGAATAAAAATATGAAAATAAAAACAAATAAAACAAAAACAAAAGAAGAAAATTTTAAACATCATTTTTCAATAACAAAAAAAGAAAATAAGATATATAATTTTCTATCAATACAAAAAAATCAAAACATAATCAAACAAACCAAAAAAATATTCTCTCCTGTAAAAGGATATCTATAAAATGACATTGCTATCTTTTAACTAACAAAAACAACAATAACAATAACAACAACAACAACAACAACAACAACAACAATAACATCAATATCAACAACAACAACTCACTCATTCCCTCCTGCAAAAGAATCCCCGTGAACTAATATTGCCATTTTTAACTAATATTTCTCAAGGCTAAAACTAAATTTCATAAGCCAACTTAGGCGAGTCCCCTACATTTTCCTCGACCTTTCATCAGATCCACAGAAATTGCCTGTTGTTTACTCACAACCACAATCAAAGCAAATCATAAATTATAAAGTGTGCTCTGGTTGCAGTATATTGCAGCTGGAATTACATTTTACACATCTATACATTTTACTTATATGTACATTTTTGACTACTGCACAACTGGAACATGAACATGAGAACAGCAACACACATTCCCATCTTTTAACATAACCAGGAAAAGGAAGCTTCAGATCAAGGGAAAGCAAATAGACAGGTGCTCTATAAGAAGAAGAAATTGTCTTTTCTGTTGTACAAATGTTTTATATGCATTTGAGGTTTTGCTCTTCAAACACATAGACAACACCAACTGTGGGAAACTGAAGCATACAGATAAAGCTTTATGGTCTGAAACTCTAATACCTCTTGAAGTGTAGTGGTATCATTATAAAAAAAAAAAAAGACTACCAAAAAAAAAAAATCTATCTAATATCAACACAATCATAAATTTGATCATTTCTCACCAGCCAAAAAAATCTGCCTCTTCTTAAATGCCACACATTAATACTTCAGGTTAATACTGATTAGTGACACATCAAGAGCTTAACTATAGTAATCAACAATAAAAATTCAACGGCATTACCTGTCCCTGAGTACACAATGATGACTGTGACTGTTGGGCAGTTGGGTCTGAAGATACAGTCTCTCCACTTGCTGTATTTGTGGACAATTCTCCAGTTGTCGTCCAACCTGCCATTTCAGCTTCTTCATCCTCTTTTAACTTTGCTTCCTGTTTGTACCAATTGCCAAAATTAATCAGATCTCAGGCCCTATTTTTTCTAAAATAAAATATAATAGACAACAGAATTTCATATCTCAGAGACAGAAATTTCAATTAACTTTTCTACAATTTTGAAACCAGATTCCATGAAATAAACAAAGCAAAATGCATCCTCTCTGATGGAAATAATCATTATACAATTATAAAATTATTTCTCAACCAGAAAAAAATGTACATGAAATATGGAAACTACCTCCTCCATAGCTCGATTGTATTCATCAATTTCATACTGGTACTTCGGTGCTGTAATGCCCAGGAAATTTGCCAGGCTTTCACCTACATAGTCACAGGCTGAAAGCACTGAGCTGCCTGAGTACAGCATCCAGTAATAGATCCATGGACCCCATGTTAATGCTTTCTGTCAAATACCAAACAAAATACAATGTATCAGCAAGGTCACTCTATTCTTACTGAACCTGCAATAATCACTTTTTTCTACAGAACTTTTGTTTCCAGTATAAGTGTATAATAAAGTATATTCCCAAAAGAAACCTTTAAAACTTACAGGATCTGTCACAGCTAAAGAATCTGGCTTACTCTCTTCCTCCTCCTCATCTTCTGTACTATATTCTTCAAGAATCCCATCAGAGAAGTGCAGGACACGGCGAGGTTTTTTCATATTGCGACTCTTACCAGCTTCTGCTTGAACTGCATCTTGTCTTGTATAATCTGCTGCCTATCAAAACAAATTAATGTGATAATAAAGAACTTACAAAAGACAATTCATCTAAAATCTTTTTAGACTACTTTATTCAACCTTTTGTTAATCAATCACCAATACTTAAGAATAGAATCCAATGCAATAGGACAACACACAGTTCCTAAATTATTTTCACAAGCCACTTAAAAAAGGACTTACAAAAATACAATCAATCTTTCATTTTTCATTTGACCCATTGAGGCCAGCAGAGCATGCCATGTCCACTTTGAGTTTAGTTCATTAATTTTCTTTACACAAAGATCACTCTAAAAGTGAGCAGTTATTATGGAGTCAATTACTAGGCCTAGATGAACACAATTATATACCCTAATCCTTGAATTTTCAGAAAAAGTTTTATTTTTACAAATGTTAGAAGTGTTTAATACAGTTGTAAGAAAATTTTTATCGAAACTTAAAGTGGTAACATTAATGAAGACAATAGTTGTATCAGAAACATTTCTTTTTCATAAAAATCAAATGAATAGGGCAAATAGGTGAGGTCATATAGGCCTAACACATGGCGAATAAATGCTTGTGGACAGTAAATGGGTTAAAACAAGATAAACAGAAGTCCTTAAAATATTAATAATCAGAAATAAGTTATCCCACATTGTTACAATTCCAATAATCTCCCACACAGACCTCATTCCTCTCTCGGGTTCACACTCTGTGATGTAAGATTGTCATGAAGTATAATGATTCCTTCTGCATTCAATTACTTAAACTTTAACTGCCACTAAATCATGGGTTTAGTCACTTTCACCACTCTCAAACAGGAATATCTCATTAATCAACGATGCCTGATATATCCTTTCGGATACTATCACATGGTACAAATAACTGCTGAAATGGAAAACCACAAAAAATATTGAATATAATCAACCATGAAGCAAGGAAACAACTACTGTTGAAGCACCTTTTTTGCAAACATATTAACAAATACAATTCTCCCCACATTCATATTTCATATCCTACTTGCTAAGCAACTCACGTACTCCATATATGGTTGACCCACCATCACTGTGGGAATTCTCTCTGGACAGGATTGTCTTCCGTTCCATTTCAGAAGATGAGCAACCTGACTGAAACAACTCTACTTGATATTAAAGAATGTATTTCAAGAGGATACATAGTAGAGATACATTCAAAATAATCATTAATTACTGAGGATTACAGGCCAAACATCTCATAAAAGGTTATTCCACTTCTGAATTATAAAGTTACTGTGTTTAGCACCACAATTTTCTTCAGTTCTAAAAATGTACATACATCTCTACCAACCTATCACTCTTTCCTTTCTTAAGGTCTAACCTGAGGTACTGCAAATAAAGCTTCCCTGATCACCCTCCAGACAAAAGAAGTCCTCTTGAACGGTCCAAGAGAGAGGATCTTGTACCATTTCCCACTGGCCACTGGTACTGGCACTGATGCTGACACTAGCATTTGTACTGGCACAGTACAAATGCTCCTACTCCTACTCCTACTCCTACTCCTGTTCCTGCTCCTGTGTTCCCACTCCCACTCCCACTCCCACTCCCACTCCCACTCCCACTCCCACTCCTACTCCTACTCCTACTCCTACTCCTACTCCTACTCCTACTCCTACTCCTACTCCTACTCCCACTCCCACTCCCACTCCCACTCCCACTCCTACTCCCACTCCTACTCCTACTCCTACTCCTACTCCTACTCCCACTCCCACTCCCAATATAAAATATAAAACTGATAGTAAGATGGGTTTACTCTAAATTATGTATGGTTATTAATTTCTACAAACTGTATATATTTCATTGAACTTGTTTAAAATAAAGTTTTCCTCTAGCTGTGACAAGGAATCCAAAGATGCATGAGAATCATGCACTTACAAACAATTTCAAAATTAAACATCAACAAGCTTTTTGTCAAATGTTAAGATGATCACAGAGAAATGGCATGGTGTCAGTAGAATGATCCTTACTTTACTTACATTTTATTATATAGTTTAATTTACACAATCTTTTGAAATCAACATGCCTTCCATAAATAAAATTACATATATGTTACAACTAAGAATTAACCGTTTACAGAACTAGAGAAGAGATTATTAGTAAAAGTTAATCAAAAGATATTTACAACAATGATATAATCATAAAACTCTGGTTCTGCAGACCTAAGTGAAGTAAATCGTAAAAAGCAGAGCATAGAAACTTAAAAGAAAAACAGAAAGCTATGTGTGTATATAAAATGAACAGGCTAGAGTGGGGCTTCCAACCTTTTTCATTCTGTGGCCTCCAAACAATATGTAATAATCCTCTTTTCAGATTGAATTATTACTAGTTATGAATAACAGTGTAATGGTGTCAGTAGCTATAATACAAGAATACTTTATGGAATGAGTCCACTTTATTGGTATGTGAGAGATAGAGATGGAGGTACTGTAGGTGAAATAAAATCTTCACATTGCTCTATGGCCCCCAGAAAGTACCCATTACCTCATTGGGGGCATGACCCCCAGGATGGTAACCTAAAAGACTAGTTTCGATGATATAAGTGAACTAGAAGGATCTGATAAGTTCTGCCTAATATAAACTTAATCTTCCTTCAATTAGTCTAGGGTCTTCCAGAGGTTTTGATCAAGTCAGCCTTTATAAACAGGTAGTCTATGGTTTGCTTGTTTATTTATAGGTTTGTTTGTCTATTTGTCAGTTGGTCTGTTTGTTTATTTGTCTGTTGGTATATTAAGTACCTATTTAATTATCAAGTAAAATCTTTAATACACAGGAAACTTCCAATAAATTTTTCATGGTGGTGTGTGAGCACAAAGGCTCCAATATTGCTAAAATATGCAATGTAAGCAAAGATTTTATGAGTTCTGTATGCCAATTTTCTTATATCTTGACATGGTCCCATTCTGGATATCTACCAGAGTCCCAAGGGCACAGAAGCCACATAAACTGCTTGAGTTCTATGTGGTTGTTAGCTTTTCTTGTCTTTCTGCAAAAAAAAATATATCCAACAATGTTGTTTCATGTGCTTCTTGTTCACCTTACTTTTTTTTCTCTCTGTGTGCAGATCCCATTTCAAGGTTTACCATGAATGATGCATCAAATCTCAGGAAATTAAATATTAGCAATTCACACAAGGCTGCAATACTCCA